GAAGAAAGTGGTAGTGGCTATCCATTTTTACAGCACGCTGCCGGACACAGCACCCTGGACAAAGCACACTGACAAACAGCATCTGAGTCACTGGGAAATTGTTTTTCATTGATTGTCTGTCTTTGTTTTGGTTGGGTTTGGTTGGGGTTTTTTCCCATTTGGAATACAGGAGAGAGGAAACACGTTTAATCCATGCTGATAAATCTGGCATTTCATTAGAAGAGCTGCTCCTAATCAGCAGCTTCGAGCAGGGATTGCAATAATTATGTGGGAAGAAATGCAGCCGAGAGAGCTGCTCTTCCAGACACCTCCTTCCAGGCGTGCGGTCAGGTGCCTCCTTGCCGCTTGCGCAGGTGGTGCCGCTGTGGAGCCGGAGCCAGGGAGCTGCTGCCGCTGTCTTGGAGAAAGGTCTCGGGAGGAGAGAGCCTTGAGTGATGGTTAGCAGTGAAATGCAGCAGGTAGGCTAGAAGGAAAGCTTCCAGGCTCAGGCAGCGAACGGCCTATTCCATGTTGGGTTTCAGGGCTCTCATGGAGGCACTCTGCTTATTGCTGCTTGCCTTCTATAAAATTTGAAGCCAACAAGCTGCTCAAGAGAGCAGTGCGTTGCAAGCAAGCCCTGAAAGAGGCTTCAGTTGCTTGTGCAGGCTCCAGTGAAATTAGAGCAATATACTGTGCAGTGCGATTGTGGGTTGATAAACTTAATAAAATGTTATGATCCAACCATCAGTTTGTATGTGTTTTTCCTCCTCTCTCCCGGCTTTGACACTTTCCCCGCAGAACTTCCTACGCTGCCAGAACAACAAGACGAACTACAACTTGGTGTGTGAGACGCTGCAGTTTCTGGACTGTATCTGTGGAAGCACAACTGGTGGACTCGGACTACTTGGTCTGTACATAAATGAGAAAAATGTAGCGCTGATCAACCAGACGCTGGAAAGTTTGACCGAGTACTGTCAGGGACCTTGCCATGAGAACCAGGTAATACATCCATAGCTGTCAAAAGCATCACCCTTTCTCCCTACACCCGCAGCGTGTGCTCTGCTGGGCTTGGCTCTGAGTCGTCTAGACTCGTGTTGTCTTGTAACGCGGCTCACTTTACTTGCCCTACAAAGGAGTTTTGGTTTGGGGTGGGGTTTTTTCTTTTCAACGCATAATAGTCAACTTCTCTTTTTCAAGGCCTCCTCTGAGGAGTTAAACCACTCAAAGCAGTAGAGATTTTTCTGCCTTGCTAGTATTTAAGTGGTTTTATTAGACTCGACAGACAGGGACAGTGGGGAGTTTTTGTACTTGAAATACATTATGGTGAAAATACTGCTAAACCCAATCTCTGTTACCTGTTGTAAATGAGACCAGAAATGTGCCTCCCCCCGCCTCGCCTCAGCCTAATGAGAGAAGGCTGAGCTCTGTAGTTTCATTAACGAAGGCGATAACCACGTTGAGGCTGTTTTCAGACACGGTCTCGTGTGTAGAAGCAGGTGCATGTGGCTGCCGACTGTCCGTGCGCTTGCACGGGGACGTGCCGGTGGTTCCCAGTGACAAGGGTTACGTGTTGGTGAGGACCACCAAGTGTCTGCGGGGGGTCGGCAGCCTCTCTCCGGCTGCCCCCAAGCCATACTCGCTGTCAGCGGTAAGTTCTGCTCCGAGAAGGAATAACTGTTCTAAAGCAAGCATGGTGGTTTAAGTAATCGTGTTAAAGGATTATGTTACTGAAAAATGACAATAATGCTATCGGCTAACGCAGTTACTGAGCTGCAGCTGGACTCGGTCTGCTCTGTGCCTCAAAGGTTGAATAATTAGCAAGGAATATGGGAAGATACTTTGTTTGCATAAGCAGGAGTTTTTAGGTGCTGAAGAATTCGGGTTTGCTCCAGAGGGGAGGATCCGAGGGCAGGGGCGGCTGTACTGCTCAGCCATGCTTTCCCACTTACCTGCCCGCAGCTTGTACGGCCAGGTTTTAGAGCAGCATCGCCCATGAGGCCCATTTCTCCTGCCTTTGGTCTAAATGTGACTCTTGCTGTAACTGTTTCAATGAGTCAAAAGGAGTCTGGAAGCTTAGTAAACCATACTGAAGAGATAGCTACCCCAAAATAGTTTTCCAAACTCTGGCCGCTCTGGCATTGACTCAACAAATAACGTGCTCAGTGTGTGTGGTAGGGAGCACTCTTCCCGTCGGGCTGGCGTCACCTGGTACGTCCTGTGTTCCGGCGTGGGCGTCCCCCTTCTAACAAGCAAACCTCTGCACTTAAAACATGGATATCTGCTTATTTTCTCCATTTGCATACTCTTTGAACCGTGGTATGGTACAGAAAGACTGGAATACGACTTTTCAAAAAGCCTTCAAGAATATCTATCCTTTGAAGTGCCTCTTCTTGAAGTGCACTCAAATGTCATGTACAGCAAAGCTTAACAAAGCATCGTGGGGGTGACCGATGTTCAGATGAAATCGTATCTATGAGTGGGAATGCACAGGGCCGTATATGTCGGTTCATAACCGACAGATTCTCTCTGTTACACGGACCGGGTGGAATAACAACCTTTAGATATAGGTACGGATCTTCGCAGTGGAGCTCGACGACAGAGCAGGGCTCTGGATTTTGAAGCCAGCAAGCTACTGTCGGTTTGTCCATTGTATAGACCATTTGTACATTTTATAGACCATTATAAAAGCGGGGTTAAAGGGTGAGCAAAGAAGGTTATGGAAACTCACATTCTTTGGTTAGACAGCACTGAAGTAGGTGTTGATTGGCACATCTGAAATAAAGAAAACTCTCCCTAATCTTAGTAAAACAGCGTTCTTCCTTAGCTATGTATTGAGCCTGGACGCTTTGGCATGGAAATGCTTCGTTTATCAACTGCGTTGCTGTCTGCTTCCTGAGGCTGGGTGGTTTCAGTAGGACGTGCCATGGCTGATGGTAGGAAAAGTTTGAAACAAAATGCCTTAATCTTTTGTTATTCCACTGACTGGAGTTTTCTGTTCAGTTATCCATCTCGAACAGCTTACGAGGTGATGAAAGAGGTGACTCTTCTGTTCTGGCTGGGTCGCCAGCCTAGGCTGCATGTTTAGTGTAGACAGTGAGTGAAGTTTGATTAATTTTCTTTGGACAGAACTGCATTGCTACTCACGAGTCCAACGGCATTGACATCATCACAGCATTAATTCTCAATGACATCAACCCTTTGGGAAAGAAGAGGATGGACCTTGTGTTAGAACTGAAGGCAAGTGAATATTTTTTGGCGATCCCCGTTTAACAGTAAGATGAAATATAATTTTATTGTTGGAATTATGTGGGTGTTTATTGTATCCCAATATTCATAAGTGCCAAAAAATTATATGCATCAGCAAGCTGGAGGCAGTGCCCAAAGATTGTTTTTCACAGGTATTTAATCTTCTAAATGATAACGTGGAGCCACCGGTTTTCAGATGGGGGGACGCAGGCAGTCAAGACATGCTTGAGGAATCCTAAAATAATTTCCTGTTAAAAATTTAAAGCCAATAAAAACTCCTCCGTTGGTGGTGAGCTTTTGCATATACAATGGAAGTCAAACTTCTCATGCTACCTCTAGTTTCCTAATAGTTTATTGCTGCTGTTTAATCATCGAGAATTTTTTAGGGCTATTCATATTAATGTTGAAATAATTACCCCTGCAGCCTGTTTCAAAATACGCTAGCAGGTTGTCTTCTAGCAACAATAGTCAGAGAGCACTCCTACTTCAGCACGTGTTTTAGAAATATTTCCTTTCTGACTTACTGTCCTGTCTTATAGTGCAATGTCTAGTTGTTTTCCGCTGCCGACTTAGACCATTATTATGGGTAATGTGGGTTTTTTATTATTCTAAATAAAAAATGCTTTTAGGCTCAATTAGCATTATACTTCAAAATTAAATATTTTTATTGGTTTCTATTGTCAGTCATGATGGATTTTAATCTTAATTGTTAGTATTAAAGTAGTCTGGTGCCTTGTGGTAGTTTCCCATTTCCTCCCTCTATTTCTTGGCATGAGCAGGTCTCAGAGTAATTTTCAGTTAAAAGCAGTGAAGCACGTCTGTGTCTTCAGCCTTGGCTGTCCTTTGATTTAATCAACAGTATTTTGGAGTTGAGAGCTTGTAGTAATGCAGCAGTGTCTTTAAAACAAGACAAAATAATACACACAAGTTTGAAATCCCAGTGGTTTAGAAATCTGAAACTTAACTTGGGTTAATTTGATGTCCTTCAGTAAGTAGGGGTTGGGAAATAAAGTGGTAAAAAATACTACTGAGTTGTCTATCTCAGTAATTAGAGGAGGGAGTGCTTGGCAAGGTGAGGCTGTAGGAGTTCTGCAGTAGGGAGAACGTGGCTGGGAGGCTCTCCCTTGCCTGCAGCTCCGATTTGGAGAAACGAGGTATCTCAAGCCCTTCTGGGCAGCAGGCATGGGAGTGCTCCAGCTGGGTACCCTCAGTTTTTTGACTCCTGGCAGTGACTGGTGGTGTTCTTCCCTCCCTTCAGAACAATGCTTCAAAATTGCTCTTGGCAATCATGGAAAGCAGGCATGACAGCGAGAACGCGGAGAGGATCCTCTACAACATGAGACCCAAAGAGCTGGTGAGTCCCTGCATCGCTCTGAAACTCCTAACTCCATTCAAGCCAGGTACAGCAGCGCTGGGGAGGCTGGGGTGGCCACGTCCACCGCAGGGGTGCTGCAAGAGGTCTCTGCATGGATTGCTAGCAGCTGGAAGACGTTTCAAGGATGTGTTGAATGAGTGCAATATCCAAAGGGGACGGGTCTGTCTTCTCAGGCAGCACGAGCGATGAGGGTAGCCATGCTGAATGCTGCAGAGGAGGCATTCAGCATCCTGCGCAAGACAAGGAAGGAGCATCATTCAGTAGACTGTAACAGGGCTGGTTAATGTATTAACTGGCGAAAACACAGGACATTCGAAGTACAGCTGAAACACTGTGGGCTTGTCTTGGTGCACATAGCTACGGCAGGGGCCAGAGGTCAGAACGTGACGCACCGTGCCATGAGGGTGGCCCAGAATATATTACCTAGAGGAACATAAAGTTTGGTTTCTTGTGTTGATGAGCTGGACTGAAGGTGCTGAGTTCAGGTCTCTTGTTCTATCCTGGTTGTTGAGAAGCCCACTGACCTTCCTCTTGAATTTGTTTGCTCAACTCCCTTTCGCCCCTGTAGGAGTGGCAAGTGTATACTGGCTTTAGCAGACTTCAACCCTCAGTCTTTTCGTTGGCCTGTGTCTGTCTTTCTAGGTGGAAGTGATAAAGAAGGCTTATCTGCAAGGAGAAGTAGAATTTGAGGATGGAGAGAATGGGGAAGATCTTGCAGCATCTCCAAGGAATGTGGGACACAACATTTATATATTAGCTCATCAGGTAGAATTTCACCTACAGCTTCTGTAGCACCAAGTTTCGCAAACTGTGAATAGCAAGAGGTCTACTTTTCCCTGAAATTGCTTTAATGGCTCACCTCTGAGACAAACTCACTGCACATTCTCTTTTTATCAGAGCAAATTCCTATCCTTAAAGAATCAGAAAAGAAAATTATTTAAGAAAATTTTTGGAGTTTTCTTTTATAATGGGAAGCAGGCAGGCTCGCGACCAAGTTTCTGAAGAGACGTGATTCAAGTTCTTGGCAGTGCTGGGAGCGATGTATTATTTTTCAGCTGTGTCAAAGGTTACTTTATACTCCCAAAGAAATCCTACTCACAGATCACTTAAAACGTAAGCAGAAATCTCACTCTGCTTTTGTGGTTCTTGCCACATTCTCCCTATGGGGGAGCCAGTCAGGTGTGTTGTATCGATACAATGTGGTGTTTGAAAGGTAAAAGACCAAGACGGGGGCGGGGGGAAGTATCTAGATCTACTTAATATATTATATGCTACATATATCACTCCACTGGAGACTTCTTGTTCCTTCAGCATCTAAGAAGAAAAAACATTACTATGCTGTAAGATGAATTTAGAGCATCCAGAAGCATTTTTGGAGCAGTGCTCTGTGCATCTGCTTTTCAATTGATGCAAATCTTCTCTTCCATCCCTGCCTAGATACCTGTGTGATTAGCACACCTTTGTGTTCGGGTGGGTGTAGAAGGATAGACCGACTGTGCATGTTCAAAAGTTTCCCAAGTCAGGCAAAGGGTGGGAGAGGATGGGTAAAAGAGGAGTACAATGCGGATATTAAAAAGAATACATATATGAATCATTCTGCCTTGCTCCCAAAATAGAGCTGCAGGGTGTCTGGTTGGAATAGAACAAGCCTTCTGTCAACTTTGCCCTTTCTTAGCAGCTGACTGCATACTATTTCGGATTTTTATGCCAAAAATCAGAAATTTAATATCATAGAGAGACATCTGGTGTCTCCCACTCCCTTTGCATTCCTTTATTTTAGTTGGCTCGTCATAACAAAGAGCTGCAGAACATGCTGAAGCCGGGAGGTCAGATAGAGGGAGACGAGGCTCTGGAGTTCTATGCCAAGCACACGGCACAGATTGAGGTAAGGGGAGACCGGGAGGTGCGGGGGGGATGCTCTGCTGCGGGAAATGCTGCTTGGAGAGAAATGGTGGAGTTAAACACCGGTTACATTATACCTGATACTTTGATCGAACTGAGTACCTGTGTGTGGACTGTCATCTTTGACATGAGAATGTATGTGTACTTATTTTTTTATTTTATTTTTTGACAGCTGCTGGGGGGGAGCTATTTTTGAGCTGTCGTGTGTGGGCTTTAAGAGGGAGCTGAGCAGAGAGCTCTGTTGGCAGGAGGAAGTGTAACTTCGCTTCTGTTACATTTTGGCCAGTACCACTGCTGAATCCGTAAAGTTAGTGATAGCTTTTGCCTTCCTTTCTGTGTTAAAACGACATTTTGGCCTGATGCACAGTCCAAGATGCTTTTCAAAAGTTAAACACACGCAAACATGGAGAGTTCACAAAACTCTCTAATAAGCAATATAAATATAACTATCATTCCTCACACTCGCCTGTGCGATGTGTGGCTGAAATTTGCTGAGATACTTGAATTGGGTGACCAGATTGCTCTGAAATTCAGCACAGCTTTGGTGCAGGATTCACTGGGCCCCTTGGAAATCCCAGCTAAGTATTGCCAGGATAAGACCACAGCACAGAAATGACCGGTCTGGGAGCTAAATGTAGGCCTGCATTGAAAGGTAAGTTAAGTGAAGTCTCTACCAAGCTGCTGTTCTACAAAATGCATCCAAATTTCTACATGTAGCTGTTTTGGGAGGGGGCGGGGGGGGAAGCAAACCAACCAAGAAATGAAAGCATTTAATAACTTGGAAGAACTCTAATAAGGCTGCTGTTCAGATTGTCAGGTCGGACCGTACCATGGAGCAAATAGTCTTCCCTGTGCCCAGTATCTGTGAATTCCTCACGAAGGAGTCCAAGCTACGGATATATTATACCACGGAGAGGGATGAACAAGGCAGCAAGATCAATGACTTCTTCATGAAATCGGAAGACCTCTTTAATGAGATGAACTGGCAAAAGAAATTGCGAGGTAGGTTGCTGTTGCCAGTGTGGTGGTGTGGAGCGTTACCAGCAGAGCGCTGAGGTCAGGTTTTCGGAGTTTGAAACGTTGACTCGGTAGCAGATGGTTCCCCAGTGTGGCAGCAACCTTGATAATTGTTTGAAAGAGTCTGCTCCTCTGCACGATGGCAACATGCTGTAATGAAGTCAAGCTTGCTGCAAGAGCAATATGGACCAACTGGAGGGGATCCAGGGGAGAGTGGTAAGAAGGATCACAGGTCGTCTTTTTTAAGATCCAACAGGAAGGAACGAATTTGTGGAGGCTTAGCTTAAATGAGAAGGCATTTGGTGGCAGAGAGAAATGGAGAGGACTCAGCTGAAGAAAGCAGTGGTCTGTTCTCCTTCCCTGCACTGGATACACGAAGCAGTTCCCTTGCATTGCAGGAAGGAATAAGGCTGGGTAATGCAGCATGGACTTACGGCATCTCCAGCAATGGAGGTATTTAAGAACAGGATAAACATGCATTTTCCAGTAAGAGTAGAAATAGAATTTATCCTTTCTTTGGGCAAGGAATACACTGGTAGACGGGCTGATTAAGTCCCTTCCGCCCTTGTAATGCTAAGATATCAAGTACTGCTTTTGCCTCTGGCAGCTAGGAAAACTTTAAAAATTATCTTTTAGTTCATACAGTGCCACCACTTCCCCCAGTAAAGTTCCTAACTCATTTGCTTAAAATTATTAATTTTTTTTTTATAACGTGGATTTTTTGTTTTGCTAAAGGAGAGATGTTGCGCATGAGGCTCAGCTTCCGTGGGCAGCGATGAGTGGTTAGAGTTTACCGACAATGACCCTCTGAAACGTGAGAGAGAAAGCAGTTATTTCCTGTTCCAGTCAACATCTGCCATCTGCTAGCGCTGCTGTTCCCCATGCTTGAATCGGCTGGACTCCAGTCCTTAGCGCAAGAGTGCGGACTGGTCCAGAACCACCTCCTAGAGAAAATGTGAGGGTGGACTTCTGTCCAGCTGCACGCTGCCGTCAGCCACCCAAACCTGCCTGCCGCGCCAGGCGATCCACGCCAGCGTGGTTAGCAAAGGCTTTCCCCCCGACGGAGACCTCGCTGGCGCTCAGTCAGCGTTGCATATCGTAGGGAAAAAGAAGAGGGGAGAAGGGACCTCTTGACCTTCCTCATTGTGAAAATTATTTTTTATAAAATTACTTCCCTTGTTGCAGCCTCTGATGATTGCATTTCGCCCTTTCACTGTGCACTTCCAAGAAGAGCCTGGACTCTTTCCAGTTTGTTTTTTGAATGCGTATGCACCGTTCACACTAGAGCTGATGATATGTTGCACATTTGATAATGGAAACTCAGTATTTGCTTCTGATTGTTGGGATGTAGGTACATATATGTTAATAGGCATTTTAACAGAGAAAAGCAGCTGGAATCATATTATTCGAAATTATCAAATTCAGGTATGGATAAGACCGCCTGAAACTTGGTCAGCTCTACTGAAGTATTTTTTCACGTGTATGAATACCAAATTAGAGTGGAGCTATTTCCACCGAGCAATGGATTAGTACTTCTGACAGCATCAAAATCCCCAGGAAGCTGCTTCCTAAAATGAATTCTAAGAACTCTACAAGAATATGGGAATATTTGACGTCCTAGACAAATGTGCAACTTTGACGGTATCCATGTCTTCTATTAGATTTTGTTGTTTGAGTTACTTTAATTGTCTTTGAGGCTATCTCCAGGCAAGCTGTGAAGACATCCATAATTAACGACAGACCACAGATGGATCAAGATCCACCTGCAGAAGTGGAGAATATTTCTTTTTTCCTTTAAGCAACTGGAATAATTTAGTCTGTCTCCTAGTATTCTGGTCTTGTTTGGCCTCTGGGTGATACTTTACATTTATGCAGTTTTTCTACATCTTAAATACAGGTTTGTGTTTTCAAGACATGACAGGCTGGCAGTGCTCTGTGCTGTGCTCATGTGATACCGCTTACAGTTTATTCAAACCTGAAAAAGACTTTTTAAAAGTCTTTATAAAGATCCATGTACTTCCCCCTTCTGCTCATGGTGCTAGCCCATAATCTGAGCACCGTAAGTCTCCCAAGGTCTTAATTAAGAATTCAAATGAGCCTGACAAAACCAGGCAGAAGTGCTACACAGTGCAGATAGTCTGTGCCCATCCCCAAAGGAAGTTTTAAAGTAAAACCTGGAACTTTGTAATGACGTTCATATAACAAATTCATATAAATTAATTCAACCTGCTTACAGATTCTTCCAGTTAAAATGAAATTGAGAACAGAAATAATAAAGAAATCAGTGTATCATATATTCAAAACATTGCTGTATCGCATTTCAATGAGGCTTAACATGTGCTTGGCTAATTAGGCGCAATGAAGCTTGTATTCTTAGAGTGACGGGGTACCTTTTTGTGGTCTTTCCCTTTGCATTCAGCTGTTCAATACGTTTGCTTTTTATGTGCATTTCAACTCAGTATAATGAGGCATTCTATAATTCTTTTAACCCTTTTTTTTTTTTTTGCTTAAGATGCTAGAAGACGTGATTTGCTGAAGAGAGGTGGTGGCTACTGTGAGGCTCAGAATTGCTGCATTCATTAATTTACTCTTCAGCCCCAGAGTTTGCATTTTCACATTCTCATCTTTTCCCTAAATTTCACTGTGAGCTTCTTTTCCTTCGCTCTCTGATATACACGTTACCTCCTTCCAACAGGGAAAAACATTATTTCTTTCCCTTCTTTGAGAGCATTTTTAATAGATTTTTTTTTTCTCCCCCGCTCTAGATTTCAGGAGTACGCTATTTGCGGTACAGTAAGCCTGCAGGAGCTAAAATGGGGGGGGATTTTGCCTTGATGCAGAGGGAATTACTGTAAGGCAGCTTCTTAGCTGTCCTTGTCGTCTTCTGGTCCACAACCGTTTCAGAAAATGAATCGCTTTGCTTTCTGTGCCTCTTGATTCTAGCTGCAGAGATTATTAAAATTAGGAGTCTTTTTGAAAAGTATTTGTATGTAATGCTGGGAATTTAAAATGAGCAGCTGTTTAACTGTATGCCTAGCTCTGTGCAGATGTGCTTGCGTCCCTCGCCCACCGAGCAGAGGGGAGGCCGGCCGAGCTTCAGCTCGGGGATTATTCTGGGGCTACATCGATCTCTTACCAGCCTGAAGTGAAGTTGCCTCACTGGCTTGGCAGCTCGTGCTAAACATTTTAGCTTTATTGCTATCTCACTACGCTGCATTTTGTGTCTTGAGTGTCCACCCTGCGCTGCCTCCCCTGCGTTTTTTCCTGGCTCGCTGCAGCGGAAGGGAAGTTTGAAGGCGGGCAGCACCTCGTGTAGGTGAGGTGCTGGGAGCAGTGGGGCTGGATCTCGCCCTTGGTAACGGGAGCAGATTTTCTGCCTCCTAGCTGTTCTCTGTGTGACTCTAGGTTTCCCCTAATAATATACTTTGTACTCCAAGTCCTTGATCTCTGGCATTTCTGAACTCCTCATGCTACCACTAAATCAACTCATGTTTGAAAATACTTTGCTTTTTAACATGAGTCCTTTGCCTGGAAGCACTATCTAGGAAACTGGAAGTACCCTAAAGATAAAGGGTAATCAAATAAACTTTGGAATAAGCCATGACTATTACTGCTGTTGATGCTGTGCTTTTGGGCAAACTGAAAATAAACAGTTTTGGTGGAGATCAATTTTTATATAGAAGTCTCTCTTTTTTTTTTTTAATCCACTTGTTTCTCTCCTTTGCAGCTCAGCCTTTCCTCTACTGGTGTGCTCGCAACATGTCCTTCTGGAGCAGTATTTCCTTTAACCTGGCTGTCCTTATGAACCTGCTTGTGGCATTTTTCTATCCATTCAAAGGAATTCGAGGAGGTACTGATATTTAACATACAAAACTATGTGAACAAACAAGAGCTAATGAGCCAAATTCTATCCCTCACTTGTCTCTGTGTCCCTGTTTTCTTCAGTGGGGATAGTAGAAAACAACTTGGTTTTTTTTAAATTTTCTTGATTTAAATTGTGCTGTTCGTGGAGTTACTTTTTCTTGAGGCATTTGTAAGGAGAATGTCGAGCCATGCTCTTTCCTAGGGGAAAAAATTATCAAAAACAGACATCCACCTTTAATGACTTGAATGTTCTGCTTTGTTTTAGAGTTCTGCAATTAAGTATTGAACTAAAAACACGAGAAACGTTAATTTGTTGTTTTCCTTGAGCTTGCATTTTATTAACACCATTTTCCATAAAACTTGCATGGTTGCATAGCACTTCAGGAGGCCTCTGAGCGTTGGGGTTGGGTGAGCGAGATTATCCTGCGCTGGCCGGTGAGGTGTACGGGGGCGAAAGGACCTGCCTCGTGCCGTTAGAAATCGATGGAGGAGACAGAAAAAGAGCCCATCTCCCTCCGTTCCTGTCTCTCCTAGGAGTCCCTTACCCCCGCGAGCACTTCGAGCAGAGGTTGCCCTACAGAGCGAGGAGGAGCGTGCCCGCCATGTCCCCTGCTCGGGAGCAACCTGCCGCTCCGAGGCTCCTTGCCATCAGCGGGCAGCAGCTGGGCTTGCTGGCATTCCTAACAGGAAGCACGGCTTAACATGTGCGGTTCGTGCGGGGTTGCACAATCTTGCTGTAATAGGTCTCATGGAAATCGCTTTTGATCCAACCAGTGGGTTTGTGCGACAGCAACGGTTCTTGGAGCCAGTTACTAAATACCCGCAGTGGAGTCTTCGGCTGCTCTTCCTTAGATCCTGCCTCTCCCAAGAGATGTCCCCCAGGGCAGGTCAAGGGGTGGATTCATGTCAGTATCTGGAAATTTAGAGAAATGTTCTTGTGAATGCCTCTGCTGTGTTGCAAAGCTGGTGTAGAGGCAATGCCTAGGTAGGAGCTTTTGCCATGTCCCTGTTAACTGGAGCAAATAAGGACTCCAGCAGTAAAACCTCCTCCTGGAGCGGGTGGTCCACATTCAAGCCTTCACCTCCCTATCTTCGAAACTCATCATGCAACAGGGCCAGTTAGCTGCTTATCTTCTCCTGTTGAACTTCCCTCTGCATCTTCTGTTCGTTGCTAACACAGAACCCAAAGACAGTGCCGCTCAAAGACAGCAGTAGCCTGAACGTAAGAAAATTACCAGCTGAGCAACGTGTGTGCGGCATGAAAGGTGCTTCCCCCTTTTTTGCAGCTCACCAGTTAATTCAAATTGAGGAGCACCCTGGTTTTGTCCAAGCAGTGTCTGACAGTGGCTTACGGTCGCAGTGGGGTGAAGGCAGTGGGCATGGAAAACTTGGGTTTAGGAGTTCTGCATCCTGATGCAGCCGGTGAGAAGGTACGGGGTATTTTAGGCCAAAATCTGGTATTCCTCAGAGGGGAAGAGTATAGTTACCTCCTGCAGCATCAGGCTGTGGTTTCGGCCGCCATACCTCTGCGTCGCATGCTGTGACAGCAGACCATGGGGCTACCCGGGTCCTGTTCCGGCCAGCAGTTGGTTGAAAGGTTTTAACCAGCACAAAGAGTAACTGAATTTTCTGTCTCTAGTTTCAAAGATCACAGGTTAAAATTTAAAAGCCTGTATTTACGGCTGCTAGGAAAGCTGGTAATTAAATGAGTTCGTTGAGATTACAAGTTGCAAGATGGGGGTGGGGGGGGATCATTTGGCATTTTGAAGATGCCCTACCCTGCATATTTGAAATACCTTATTTATCAGGTAACATTTTGATAACATCTCTTCCTCTACTAGTTACAATCAAAAATGTAAATTAATTGAATACATGTGTATTTTATATTTAGCTTTAAAAAGAAAAAAGGCTTTTCCAAGCAGACTGTTTGGGGGAAGTTGTCAGTGTCTTGAATTGCTCAGACATGGTGAACTGAGCAGCTGATTAGCATCTGACTGTAGCAGAAGCTATAAAACTTCTGACTTGAGGAGCAGAAATGAAACTGGATGCCTGGAATTCAGTACTGGAACGGTGAGAATTCCAGAGGCAGGGAGAACCTTCCTACCAGGTCCTGCAGGTTTCATGCTCTGCCTGCCAGCAGTCGTGGAATGACCTCCACGTGCTCGCAGCAAGCGCTTCGGCATTGGGTTGGGTGCAGTTGATGGCAACTGACGGCTCTCTTGGTGAGCTTCATCTGCCAAGGTTAAGGACACCGCTCCCAGTTTGCTCCCAGTCTCTCTCCATCCCCAAGAAGGAGAGACGAGCCTGTGCCCTGAGCCCCACTCTTCCCCGCGAGTACCCACCCGAGCCGCGTCCCTTCAGGGTCGTCTTACGTCGTGGCATTGCGCTCCGCAGGCCGATGAGCAGCCCGTGGTGTCAGGCCTTTCCAAGGCAACACTTGAGGACTTCATTAACACTAGTTATTTTTGCAGGCCTGCTGGGAACTGCTGAAACTTGTGAAAGCAAATACATTCATGTCCCGTGGATGGCTTTGTAATAGCTGGGACGTTCCGACACCTGTGCAGGTGCCGGCGGGGTCCTTCAGGATCTGCCGTTCACGGCAATTCCCACGTCACCTGCAGAAGCTCATTTAGGAACTTTTTTCCCCTCTCCCCTCAGTGCTGTTTATCGTTCCCACCGGGTGACTCTTTCCGTCCCTGCACCTTTCGCTGTCTGACAGCTCGAGCGGCGGTGGCAGCGTTGCTCTGGGATCCCAAACTCCCTTCAGACGGCGGAAACATCTGCTCAACTTTACGCTTATTAAGTTTTAATTTCCATCTATCCTCTGCTGTCTTTTTTAATCTACGATGATTTAGAACAAAATTAAATGGCTGCTCGTGGTAGTCAGATGAGAGTAATATTTCCTAAGCCTTCTGAGTTCGGGTGGGGGGAGGAAAAAAGCCCTGGGTGAGTGTCTTGCCAGTAAGAATCAAGAGTCCTCCGAGTACGTACTTGCAGAAGGGCTGCAGAGTGCTGTGAAGTGTGAGGGGTCTTGCCTTTCTGTCTGTTGAGGGACCAGTTGCTTGAAGAAAAGCATTTTTTTAATGTCAGTTTTAGGAAAAAGATGTGTCTCATATTCGGCGTAAACCCAGGGTAAATGGTATTTTCAGCCAAGTATTTTTTACGGCTCTTTCAGCGAAGTGTATTTTTAGCAACACGGGCTGATGTTACGTAAGCAGACAGTCTCACGGGACAGTCTAAACAGAACCAGAAATAGCAAGAGACGACAAAAACTGGTAGGAGGTTTTTGACCAAAAGCATAGTAGGAGAATCTGCCGTGAATCTGGGCCTGGAGGAGTGTGTTGACTGTCCTCACCTACCCATTCAATGCCTCTGCAGATCGCATTTTACCAAAATGCCTCTCCTTTTCAGCATCCAAGGTGTATAAGTAATGAACACTACAATGAAGAATCCTATCATACTGGCGCTTATCATTTACATAATGCTTTAGTAACAAGTTTGTAATTAAAATCTGCTGAAGGCATTGGCCTCAGATGTTCCACTTCCTGCTTTGAAATCAGTAATGTCTGAACGTGAGGCTTAATGATGCTTCACCAAAATGAGATAAAATGACATTTATCTGGTTATTTTGGTTACACAAAGTATTGAAATGGGTTTTGTTTTTTCCTCTTCACCCTAGGTACACTGGAGCCCCACTTGTCAGGCTTGCTGTGGACAGCGATGCTGATATCTCTGGCCATCGTTATAGCTCTTCCAAAGCCCCACGGCATCCGAGCCTTAATCGCTTCTACAATATTACGACTAATATTTTCAGTTGGTTTACAACCTACTTTATTTCTGCTGGGTGCATTCAACGTAAGAATCGAGTGGGCTTTTTTGAATCTCTCTTGCATCTTATGTAAGGGTTTCTTACCTGCTCGTGAAGATGTCAGGCAAAAATAGCCTGGGACATTGTGGTGGAACTGGTGGGAGGAGTAATTCCCTCTTTGGACTGTTTCTAGCAGAAATGCTTTGCTGCTGGTCATTTAATCCTCGTTCCCCAGGCTGTGGAGACTCTAAGGTTTTGTTCGGTTTTGCCACAGTCTAGAAACAGCTCCCACCCCAGCCAGAAGTGTAGAGAAGTCTCTGTGACCCTAAAGTACTTAGTTATGCGCTCAAACCCATCTCCCGTTCAGCAACTAAGCTACAGTATTAACGCGGTTGTGTAAGATTCACTAAAGAGTGCATTTCCCAAATGTCTGACTGCAGTCTACCTGCCAGCCAAAAGCTGACACTAAGCAATTTTGCTACAGTAGTGTGTGGACTGAGCATGTAAGCTGAGCCACCAGAGAACTTCATTAACGCTCAAACCCGGATACTTGTGGTCTCTTGTGGCAAGTGAGCCGAAAGGGTTTCTCTCCGAGTGAGTCAGCAGGAGCTGTGCAAAGATGCGTCTTCTCAAAGTCCTTGCCTTTATTCAGAAGTGCCTAGCGTTCAAGTGCATCATTTAATAGCACTCGTTGTCTGCAAAATGCGTCACCGAGTACCGTGTACTACACAGGCAGAGTTGCATTGCGAGGGTGGTGGTTGTTATTGGTAATTGTAGCATTTAGCAGGTTCCAGGTAAGTTGAAGGCAGCTTTCCTTTGGCATTGATGGCTGGTGCTGCAGAGGAGGATTACTGGGTGCATGATTCGAGAGTGAATTGCTGAGGGAATCTGGAGCACTTGCTTATTAGCAAGCAACAGGGGCTGTTTCGGAACCGTAAGGGTTGCTGTAGGCTAGAGAGTTACTTGACTGTAGAAAGTGCTCTGCTTAGAACAGGGTTGGGGTTTTTATTGAGGAAGGTTTACCTCTCACACCAGGGAGTGTTTTTACTTTCTTCTTTAAATCTTAGTCTTGATGCCCTTCGACAACAAGCTGGAGACAAGAGTCAGTGTGCACGTTGTATTAGACGTGTGCAGTTCCAGTTTTGGTTCACTGTCTCAGCTGTGCATAAAACACAACAGAAAGCAGGTTTTGACTGATGTGTAAAAATGCTGTCTTGTAACAGACAATTCAACACGGTTGTTGACATTATCATGGAGCCGAGTTATCTCCAGCTCTGAAAAATTGCCTTTTTTTCCTGAAAGCCACATGCTGTGACTAATTTATGGTTAATCTTTCCTTAGGTTTGTAATAAAATCATTTTTCTGATGAGTTTTGTGGGTAACTGTGGAACCTTCACTAGAGGATACAAGGCAATGATCATGGACGTAGAGTTTCTTTATCACCTGCTGTACCTTCTGATTTGCGCCCTGGGGCTCTTCGTACACGAATTCTTTTATAGTTTGTTGGTAGGTATTCACTTCGTCCTCAGCATGTTGTTCTGTTAATCTGTTTGTGAAGTCCCATCTCGGGCATATCTAGATGTGTCGTACACCACTTGCTTTCTGGTTTACTACTGGGAAGCTGTTGTACAGGCACTCCTTTGAGAACGGCACGCTGGAGATTTTGCTTGGGAGAAGTTACGGTGGGAAGCTACGGGACTCCTGCCACATCTCTTCTTCCTGATTTGTACAGACAAGCGGAGACTTCTTTGTTCTTCTCAAGTGTATTATACAAGATATGTTTGAGATTAAACGTAGTTTAAATTGCTCATTACAGTAAACGTGTGCAGTTGCGATGAAGGTATTTAGCATTTCTCTCTCTCCTCAGCTTCTAAGGTACGGGTTTTCTAGGTCAGATGTTTGTGACCCAGCTCTAACTTCCAAGATAATAAAACAATTTAAAACGTTGTGACTCCCAATTTATATCAATACCTGGTGAAGGCTTAAGCCTTCTTAGGCTCATATAAGCTCTTACATGACAAAAAAAGAATCGTTGAAAAATCTAGCTGTAGAAGTGTTAGCTGAACAGTAGGTGCTTTCGGAGTTACCGTGCTATGAGTAAGAGGCACAGAGTCTTTAACTGTAGTTATTGCCAGTAACTATAACATAGCGTCCGTGCTTTTTGAGCAGTTGGTTAACTTTGGAGTGTCTCCCTAGATGTAGCGAGACTGCAGACCTCACACGACTGACATGGGTGCCTGGCATACGTGTTTTTTCTGTTTGGGGTGGAATTCATCTTGCACGGCACAATGCTTCTAAGAATAAGCAGTGAAGGAGTATGTCTAGTGTTGGTGGAGAAAATGTGTCGCTTTTAAAGCAAACCTTAAATCCCATTCAGAACACTCTATTTTTGTCCCTTTGTTTGATGCTTGCTACATCCTCTGGTAACGGAGTTGGGTTTTTTCTGTATTCATGTAGGTCCAATTTAACAAATACCTTTTCTCTCATTGTCAGCCAGCATAGCCAGCAACCTGCCTGGGCTGTGCTGGTGAATTGTCATAGACCTAGAGGAGTGAGAAATGAAGGAAACATCTGTAAAGAAGTTTAAACAAGGGATTTGGCCAAAAATATGGCTCATTTAATTATACACTCAGTAAACCAAGACTTAAAGAAAATAGCTGATTGCATTTCTGAAATGAGATATTTTGAGATTGTGGTGGGGCAGATAGTACTGGGGGAAAAAAAAAAAAGATAGAACAGTGGTAGCAGCTTTATGATTTTATGTCCCTGATGTGCAGATGAAGAGGGGGGTACAGCTGCCACCATTCTTCATGTTTCAAAGTGCATGGCACAAGACTGGTAGAGTGGGGGCGAGGGACCCCATCTCCCTTGCCTCCTGCTGTGTTTTTCTTTGCCAATATGTTAAATTTCAGACAACTGTGAAAAGGAAGAAAAAAAGGTGCTTTAAATGCTCTTTAAACCATCGGATTGGTATTGTTAACATGCTGCCCCCGTTATGCCACCACGTGGCATGCCACCAGTGGGATTGGTGGTACCTGTGAGAAGCAGCCTTTGCTTTTGTTTGTTGTCCTCAGCTCTTCGACTTGGTGTACCGAGAAGAGACCTTGCTGAACGTCATCAAGAGCGTCACTCGCAATGGGCGTTCCATCATCCTGACTGCGGTTCTCGCTCTCATCTTGGTCTACCTGTTCTCCATAGTGGGGTACCTTTTCTTCAAAGATGACTTCATCCTGGAAGTAGACAAGCTCCCTAACGAAACGTTACTGCCAGGTTGGTACCGGCGATGCATTTCGACGGTTTGTGTCGAAGAAAGCCATGGGCTTTTGTTCCACGGGGCATGCTGAGTGTCTTCCACCTTTTGCAAGCCATACTGGTTACCTTACCAGTGTGACGATTTCTTTCTTACAAAGGACACTGTTTAAACAGAATATAAAATTCAGAAAACCCCAGGGTGATTGGGGCAAACAGATACCCCAGTATCTTTACAAAACGCTGCAACCGGCTTGCAGCATAAAGAGGGATGGGGAGGAGAAACCCCTGGAGATAGCACTTGGGCTCTTCTGCACACAGCTGAGATGTCTGCCCTCACTGTTTGCTAAAACACTTGAGATTATCTAATTCAGCTATACCTGCTCCCTCCCCCAGTTTAATGACAAGCAGACTTTTGGTAGGTCATGGGGGAGAAGGCTCTGCACTGGGAGAGTTGGGCTCTGCCTCGGTTTGCCGGATATTGAATGCTTATATTGGCTTTTAATGGTGGGGTTTAGTTTCAACATAACAAAAATTAATATTTTATCTGAAATAACAGATTGAATATAAATGATTGGCATTGAAGAGATACTCCTGTGAAGCAGGGGTTTATCTCTCTAACTCTGGTTTGCTCATGGTTTTTATAGACTGTGTTAACCTCCCTCAAATACTTGCTACAGTTTAAATTCCATAGCACATTCTCTGCGCTGACCTTAGGTTGCTTATTGTAAGTTAAAATTGGGGAGGGGGGTCCCACCCTGCAGCATCAAGCAACTCACGCAGTGGGTGGGAAGCACAGAAATGAAAATTTTTAAGAGGAGAGGTTTGGGTTTTGCCTTGGCTTTTTTCCTCTGACACTTGAGCTATTCAGACAAGTATTATTTGACATTCCCGCTATTTTTTCTAATTTTACTGCCAGCCCTGTGAGAGACCCAAACCTCACTGACCCTATTATTTGACGTTTCTATGCAGCTGGAGAAATGCCAAAGATGTCTTACTATGTGGCAGTAGGTTTGTTTTGATGCTTGCAAGGCATTGAAAGGCAAGTTTTCAAGGCACCTTGAAAATTCACGATGCACTAGAACATAGTATTTTTGGAACAATTTCAATTACTCTGTCAACTTCGGGTCTGATGCAAAATAAATGCACAACTCTGGTCTTTAATAGAAATAAGAATTTTGTGTTTGAATTTAAAATCATTGAATGTGTAAATCAGAAAGTAGTGTGCCCTTCTAAACAGCAGGATAATATACTATTCTAAATCTGCCTAGTAATTGCACACTGAATATGATGGGGCACCTTAATATCTGAGAAGTAATCTTGCAAAACGTTAAACTACGCTTTTGATTCATCGCCTTCTGTTTTTAGATCGCACAGAACCAGGTGAGACCATGACCGGAGAGTTTCTCTATTCAGATGTATGCAAAGCAGGTAGCAGTGAAAACTGTTCTTCAATCATTCCTTCAGACCGTAAGTATCTGCTGTTGAATTCGTAACTCACACCCTGAGTTTTCACACTTTCTCTAATTAAGCACCTTAAATTAAAAAAAAATACTACGTTCATAAAAAATGCTATGTAACTAATTTGAGAACAAATCTATCATGAGTCTATCTAAATTGGAAAAAGGATTAATTTAGGCCGACAGCATAAATGACATTTGTTACATGAAGTGATTAAACTAGAGAAACTTAGAACTAAACCGTACTTTGATAAAACAGTCATATTCCTTAATTTTCTACCTTACCAATTCGAGAAGGAAGTGATGCAGTTTACCTCTTTGCAAAGTTTATTATTTAAAAACATTAGGCTATTAAATGCGATCTCAGAGGGTAGTAGACTGTGAAATATGGAGCAGAACATGGTTTATTGTCAGCATTACTCCATCTCACTAACTAAGGAAACCGTTTTTAACATCATGGCAGGAAGTACTCAATGGATTAAGTAGGCAGAGGGTAGGTTTGGGGGGTTTTGAGATCAAAGAAGTGCATGTGAGAGATTGTAGCATAATCGCCAGCCTCAGATTGGGTATTGAAATATTTCAGTTTTATTTTCTAGAAAATGTAATTTACTTCTCAGAGATTTATGATGCTGGCTGCGAGAGCCAGACAGAACATCACTATTTCTCTTAGAAGTGGGGCTCTTACATGGTCAAATGCTTCAAAGGTCAATAATGGCCACGAGCCCGTGCTCGCAAGAGGAGATGGCTCTGTTTTGCTCAAGCGTCCTCTTTGATAAGCTAAGATTCAACAGTGATACAAGAATAGCTGCTTTATTCAGCTCTAGGAGGAGGACTGGGCTGCTTTGTCTTTATACACTCTGGCTGCAGAAGGGAACTCTAGAGATGTTTTTGTATAATAAATAATCAACCTGATACCAGGGTCTTACGTGGCCAAGGATATTAATGCTGCCCAAATCTTTGGCCATTTGTGTCTCATATTGCATTTTTAATATTTCTGGATTGCACGGGGATCGGGGCCTTTCTAAGGCTATCTGTGGGAAGGTGGGACCCGCTCGGGAGCGTTTTTATGGTGAAATGAAAGTCATGAGACTTTTGACAGGTACGGGGAGAGTATATGAGATTAGTTGGTTAATTCTAGCGGTTCTGCAACTGAAACACTGAAGTTGGAGGCTTCAGCCAAATGAAGAAAGGGTCAAAAAAGTGTGTTACTTTTTTAGTAAAATGCTGTTTCCATAAGCAGTGATATTTTAGCCATTTGAAAAATACAAGTCGAAGTTGCCATTTTGAGTGCAGCCCAAAGGCTCTGCAATCTGTTAGGCACCAAGGGAGAGTGTAAGAGGCAACACTTTGTCCTCTGAGCTGTCAAAAAGCTATGATTCTGTATAAACAGGCATCTGGTGATCTGAGCTAAGCATGTTAACAGAAATGGAAAGAGAGATTTAACCAAGTCAAAGACGACAGTTCAAGCACAAAAGAAAACTCTGCTGGTGGGGAGAGGAGGGCAGGTTGGAGCCAGAGCAGAGACCCGCTCCGATGGTCGGCTCTTCGCAAGAGCTAAGGAGGTTTGCAACGCTGGCTGGAAATCCGGCAGGTTTTTTAAAGTGGGGAGAGAGCGTAACCAGCAGAGAATGGAGAGAATTATTGAAAACTGATCTCCTTGCCTTCTAAACGTGTCTTTGCTTGCTGTGTTAATAGAACTGATTGCTGAAGAAATGGAGGAAGAGAATAAAGAGCATACGTGCGAGACGTTGCTGATGTGCATTGTCACTGTACTGAGTCATGGGCTCCGGAGTGGGGGTGGAGTAGGTGATGTGCTCAGGAAACCATCCAAAGAGGTAAATTATCACTGAATGGGGGCGGGAGAGTGATAACCGTGTGTGGCTGGGCATCTAGTTCTGCTGGGGAAAAGGCGTATGCACTCCCTTCAAACAGGTGTAGGATACGTCGCGACTACAAGGGACCCCGCTTTCTCTCTGGGCAGTGTAGTTAAATCTCTGTAGAACCAGGTTAAACAACAGCCAGTTCAAAGAAGCTTCTACCCATCCGTTTTTAATTAAGCTTTTTTAAAAATTAAGCTTTTTTAGCTTGAGGGCTGTCCAGAAGAACAGAAATGGCCAACAGCCAGTGCTTTGGGAGTTCAGGATCTGAAGAAATAAGATAAGTACAAGCTGGTGAAAGAGTGACGTGAGGTAGCGGAATGAAAATGCAGTGCTAGCGGGTACCATGCTAGTAGCGTGGGTTTCTGTGGGGAGCATCCCTAGGGAAAGGATGAGAGGACAGGGAACAAGATACGGGTTGGAGCTGGGGCTGTGGAAAGGAAGGAAGGATGTTGCTTGGAGCCATCATCAGAGAGCAAGGACGAGTCAAAGCAG